TGTGTCTAGAGCTTTATATGAATAAATGGATGATGAAGATGAAGTCTGGAAAAGTTGGTTGAGTTGGATGATCATAAAGACTCTTAGACAATAGTAAGTCTTGAGCAATCTGATATCCATTACGACACAAGCGTACATGAATTCTTGGTCAGATTTCACCTGTAACTTTTTACCCTAACTTAGGCTTTCACACTTTGGATGTCACCTGTATCTGTAGCCCATCTTTTCATTAAGATCTTTATGGGTAAGGGGCAAGCAGTGATAGCAAGTTAATGTGGAAAAAGGCAAACACTTTGTTCTAATTACTCCTCTTACTCACCCTGTCTATACTTTCTTTCCCAGAATGCAGCCCTTTTTTCTTACATTCACCTATACATATACTTACATGCATATACCATAGTTTAATTGTCCTCCTGTTGAAGGATTTTTAAATTGGTTCCAATTTTTCTCTATTAATACTAGAGTAAGATAAAATCCTCTTGTAAATTTATAAGGAAATATTTCTCTAGATTAGGTAGTGAGGGAGTGGAATTATTGGCTCAAAAGACCCCAGATATTTATAATTTAAATAGATGGTAATAAATTGCTCTTTACATGAGACTTTCTCACAACACAGATAACACTTTTTTAAAAAAAAAAAAAAATTAGGGCCCTCCCTGGTGGCACAGTGGGTTAAAGCACAGCACAAAGAAGCTTAAACCACTTCCGCATGAGTTCGATCCCTGCCTGCCCCGGAGGTGACCACATGGCGTGGCAGACCTCTCCTGACCCGCCCGCTGCTCCCCTCAGCAGTGTGCTTTGTCGATCTGCCTGTTCTGCACCCCACTCTGTCTCTGGTGAATCCTCTCACCCTCCGCATCTCTGGCCTGTACCCCAGTTCTGTATGAATAAATAAATAAATCTTTAAAAAAAAATTATTGATTGATGCATACAGAACTGGGCACAGGCCAGAGGTACAGAGGCAGTGAGGGAATTCACCAGAGACAGAGTAGGTTGCAGAACAGGCCGAATGACAAAGTACACTGCTGAGTGGAGCAGCAGGCGGGTCAGGAGAGGTCTGCTGTGCCATGTGGGTCACCTCCCGGGGTGGGGATTGAATTCATACTGAAGTGGCTTTAACTTCTTAGTGCTGTGCTTTAACCTGCTGCGCCACCAGGGAGGGCCCACAGATAACACTTTTAATCTTAAATTTTTGCTGGTCTGATTAACAAGTACATTTAGCATATTTGCATAACTTATAGAACTATTTTCATGTTTTGCTTATAATAAGAACTAGTAATAATGATACATTTGTTAAGTTAGAATCTTAACTTGTTAAGAAAGTAAGCAGCTTTCCTTTGTGCTTTAAAACTTTGTTCCCAGAGGATGCTTTAGGTCAGTGAGAGTAGTCTGAACATAAACTACAATTCATTTATGTGGATACAGTAGGTGTATTACTGTAAATTATAGATAGCCCAACTTAGAATTGACATAATTTTGAACTTTGAGTATTATGCAAAAATGGTATTATGAGAATGAGATCATCTTGTGAATAGGATAATTCTTCATTAAGTTCATAGAGCATTAAGGTAGTAAATATTTTAGCAATTATAAACACCCAAGAAAACTGATTCACAATGGAGAAGGTACTGTACATTGTATAAGATTTTATGTGGTATTGGCACAATAATACAGGGAAATGTATCTGCTATTATTCTAAAGTTTGCCTAGAGTCTTGAAGGGTTTTGTATTAATTGCAGAGCAGTCCTTTTCTATTAAAGAATGTCCACCAATTGGTTTTCTTTAGAAGAAGTCAGATTAGGAAATAAGAGGGAAAAAAGTATATGGAAAAGAATCAGTGCAAATTGTAGAAGGTCTTGAATGCTTGGCTAAGAAGATTTTACTTTGTAGTTAGTAGAATCACCAAAGATGTTTCAGCATCTTTGAAGAGATTATTATATGATCTCTTCATATATTATAGTAAAAACAGGATCCACTTGGCTGAATTTAAAATTTTAAATAAAAAACATGAGTACTTTCAGAAATTACCATTTTTATTCAGTTCTTGATTTGTAAGCTTATTAATTAGGATACATTCAAAATGTACTAGTTATTATGGTACATAATGTTTAATACAGAAAGAAAATAGAAGTTTTAATTGTTTGTAGTTTTTTATTTCTCGTATATTTGATAAATATATTTATAGTTTCACATTTTCCTAGGGGAAAGAATTTTATTACATATGGCAAAAGTAGGCTTATTTGATCTGTATATCTGTAATAAAAGTTACTTTGTATCAAGTTAATTTTATGTCATTTAAGGCATATTCTCATCATTTATTTAAAATTGTTTTATTTAAAATTTAATTATAGTGTTCATACTAATAACTAGACAATTTTTATTCCAGAAGAATGAGATACTCTGTGATTCTAACTTTAAGCTGTATGGACAATACACAATGTATCTCATATTTAGTGTTCTAAATAAAATTTTTCTTTCATGCTTTATTGCTAACTAATTTGTAGGCTAAAAAAACAGTGATTACTTAACTTCATGAAAAATAAGATATTAAAACCAAAGTCTGTTGTTTAGATGCCTTATTAAAGTAACTTTTATGAGACTAACGTGCTGCCTCCTGCACTAAGGAGGCAACTTAACTTTTAAAATTGTCTTTCAGGTAGTATATATGTGGCATATTTACTTTCTAAATAATCTTTCAAGCAGTCAAGTGAGCTGGAAAATAGTATTAGAGAAATATTTCCTGTTTTGGCTTGATTTTAATGTAACATTTTTAAACAATTGGTTTTTTTTTTGTTTGTTTGTTTGCAGGACTTGGAAAATAGTGTGGGTGAACTTAGTGAAGGACAAAGACCCAGGTGGACAGCAGTAACAGAAAACATTTTAATGGAACATTCTGTTTATTTGCAGCAGCCTGTCACTAAGTCAGAGTCTTTGGATCAAAACAGTGCTCCTAAGCCATTAGCTCAGCAATTTGACACAGTTACAGGTATACACCACAATAATTGCCTGCGGTATATCATTTATTAGAATATTCACTCTGAATCCCATCATATTTTGCTTGTACTATCTCTATGCTGAATGCTGTATTTTATTACCTATAGTATGGTTCCTAATCTGAGTTAAGAAAAGCATAACTATTTCCAGGTGGGAACTTGTAAAATTTATTTTTTACAAAAGGGTCTTCATAATTGAAAAGTTTAATAAAGACTTTCTGTGGTATATACATAGCAACCTCTTCCCAAATGTGATTCATGTATCAGTATTGGTACAGGGACAATAAGGTGGTACATGAGATAGTTTTGTTAATCTATAAATGCTTAAAAATTTTAATAGTGATGTTTTTATGTTATTAGAGAAATCTAATTAGAATATCAAAACTGTGGCACAACAGTATTTTAAAACAAGGTTTGTTAGATGTTACTATAGAATTTACCCTCTGCTATGTCAGTGTACTCAGTGTACTCATAATTACTTTAGAACGTCACTAATTAATTCTCTACTGAACCACTTTTTTAAAAAGAACAGAATAGAAACTATCATTCACTAGCCTATGCAATTGATTCTGTGGTAGTATTATCTGTGGCAATATTCTACAGGGTCACTAGGATCCTGAATTAGCAAAAACTGAACTTTTTATTTCTAAGAGAAATATTGTGCTGTGTACCTGAAAACTCTCTAACTGTAACATTTTTGTTAACTGATCAGTACGTGTGTTTTAATGTGTTTTTGTTTTGTTTAATAAATATTTTAAATTCGTTAACATTGAGTTCACAGGCAGAGTAGTGGCACTATAACTTATGCCAAGAATCCTATGTGACACACATATCTTCTCTGAGCCTCCCTGTACTTACAATTACAGGGTAGTACTTCTGAAGTGTATTTAAGGGACATTTTAACTAGCAAAATCACCAACAAAAAGCACCAAAATGTGAAAACCATGAAATTGGGCCAACATCTTGTTTACAGATGAAGAGCTGAAATGAGGAAGTTGAGTGTCTCCATGTTCAGCCTTACCTGGAGAGGTGTATGTAGAGGGATTTACCTTTTCCAGCTATTTACACAACTGCAAATGAGTGACAGGGTGCTGATGAAGATTAAGTAGGGGGTGACTCATAAATTTTGTCATGGAAGTGAATTTGCAAATATGGAATCTGAAAATCAATGAGCATCAATTATATTCTCATTTACTGATTTTGCCATTGATGTTGTTTCATTCTATTAAGTGAAAAGAACTGATGGAAGTGTGTATATTTGCTGAAGATCAGTAAATACCTGAAGTTAGAAAAACATTGGTGTAGGTTATTTAGAG